GAGCATTGGAATTTGGATAAGCAAAGTAACTTTCCTCCCTCACCTTCTTTGTTCTCTCTATTTTCTTTCATATGCCCGTCTTGCGAATTAATTGTGCAGTATGGCGGACAGGAAGCAGTGTTGGTGATTTCCCTTCCTACCCGCATGCAAAGGTCGGTGTGTGTTTACAGCTAAGGGATGAAACATAGACTGCATCATACGGCACACAGTCCAGTCCCTCTGTTCTACTATTTTTCTACTGTCAGTTTACAGCACTTTTAAAATTACATTTGTTTTCAGATCCTGAGCAAGGATAAATCGCTGTTACATGCAACGGAGCCTTTAGCTTTTTCCAGAATGTAAGTGTTGCATGCATGGTCCGGTCAGGGAAACGGCTAAAGTATTTGAGATAAAGCTGAGAAGCATGAAATCAGATTATACAAGCTGGTTGCTTCTCAAAAGCTTCGAATGAATCCCACGATAGATTTTTGCTCCTTTTTGGTTAAATGAAGCTTGAGAAGCTGACTAGAGATACAAAAAGTGTTGAAATCATCTTTAGGAAAAAAAGAATTTTCTCTACTAAGGCCTTGTATGTAAAATAATTTCCCTAGTCTCTTTTTATATATACCGTAGATGTAATTCAATTATACGTTCCGTCTATCTGTTGCCTGTCATTCTTGCCATTGGACTAGCCTTGTTTTCTTCCGGACGTTCATTTCCTCTTCCAAATCAGCAAATACAGGCTTGCCTATGTGCGAGATCTAAACGTCAGTTCTGGATGTTTTCTTTAAATTATCGAAATTCGACTATCGATTCTTCTCCTCAGTGGACGTATTGTGCTTAACCATTTGCACGTGTTAATTAACGCATAGATGATTTCAAGCCTTCCCCCTCGAATTTCTTGGTCACGGATACCAACAGTTCATGTCCCTGCAATTTCTATATCACTTTTATGCCGCCAGTGAAAAAGAAAAGCTGAAGAACATATGCAGATGATTTCGAGCTGTGCATAGGTTTCTTTTTTTTTTTGTTTTTGAAATGTCACAACCATGAAGAGAATTTATCCCGTAAATATGTACAAAACAATTAATAAATTACTCGTACCAGTAACCAAATGGAATGAATGATTACACCCCTAACTGAGGCACCAGTATTTACACAATGCATTAAAGCACATAACGTAGGCTGGAACGCACCAGGCGAGCCGGTGCGATCATGCGTTTTTGCACAAAAATTGAGTTAATTGCACGAACGGTTGTTTCTTCACACCTACCTTGTGTGCTTTATGCCGAAAATCATAGAAA